TACTGTATTTTTTTAATCAAGTTATTATTACACTATCTATGGTAAGTGTTTCTTCAACTCTTAATATTAACTATGATCTTTATGTGTCTAAGTTTTTCTCAGATCTAGAAGATTTAAGTTAGGTTCCTCTGCTTCAGGATATACAGTATGCATAAAATTCCATGTTTTGCTCATAGTTCACTTTGACCTCTTTTGCACTCTTGATGAGCCTGATATTACACTGGATCAATTGACCAGTCCATGCAACTATTATAAGTGAAAACAACCTCTGGATGAGACTAGACTAGAAATTTGTGTTTTTTTGTGGTTCTAAGGAAACATATTATTTCCTTCCCACAGGATCTGTTGAGGTTGCATTTTCTTTCAGACAATGGAGAATTTAATAGCATCCATGTTGAGTTTGCCAGACATGCAAAGGGTTTCCACTTCTCCACATAGTTCAGAGAAGCTGGACTTTTTCTTCAGTGCTACCAGTTCCAACTGCTTGAATTGACTCTTGATGGTGAAATCAAACCATTTTATCAGGTACTTTATGTACAGTACAAGCTTACTACAAAAACAAAATAAATATTTTATTGAAGCAGCCTGTAAAGCAGAGAATTTCTTGAAGAGTTTAACAAATCTAAATCTAAAGACAGTTAGTCATTATTTCATATATACTGTATTAGTACAAAGGCTGTTAATTTCCTCTACAAAGAGCATATGCTTATCTTCAGTGTATTTATTCAAAATTAAATGATCATCATTTCCTCATCATTCATCATTCATTTTGTTTTCAAGGTAGAGTGTTGAGAAAATGTCTGTCAACTCCAGATCAATATGGAAATTTCATAGTTTCATCACAATAAAATGTAAACTTTTAATATCAAAAACAGTTTATAGTAAACAATACCATGTCTCTCGAAACAAAAAGATAAATGAAACAACAATCAATTAGTAATTATATACACCCTCCCTCAAATAGGGCCTGAGGTCATCATCCAGAATTTTCTTGAATTATCTTAGAAAGAATACACAGTACAGGCCTGGTTAGGGTCTTGAATTAAAAGGCATTCCTTGGATATACAGTCTGAATCTTTAGATTTTTATATACTGTATGTCTTACTCAATACACTCATTAGAAAGAAATATCCAGATCTAAAACAGGAAAATAACAACAAACACATTTTATTGTCTTTCTTCAAAAGTAAATTTCTCAAGTTGTGGCACACTTAGGATATACATTTCTCTTTCCAGATCTTCTCTAATATGTTTACTATCTTGGAAAAAAATTAGAGTCATTGGACAAATATAAAAATTCTACATTCATTTTTATGAGGAGAGGACATGGAGTGATTTTCTCTTGAAATAAATAATCAACCTAATGAAAACAATAAATAATTAATTGATTTATATCTATTTCATTGCCCTCTGGCAGTGCTATAGAGCCTATTTATGGTGCTTATGGAGATTGACAAGAGGCTATGTGATCTTTCTTCACTTCATTGACAGAAAAAATAAAAAATGCACAAAAATGACATAAGAAAGGAAAGATGAGAACCTTCCTAACTCTCTTAATGGTCAACATTCACCGAATAACAGCTGATTCTACCTTTCAGATCAGCTTTTTCCACAGCCGGATAATTGAAAGAAATAAGGGGTCCTTCGGCAGCCATTTCACAGTGTTTATTTTCTGGAACGTATGAATTTGTTTTTCTCTTCACTTTCGTTTTTTTTTCAAGGTAGGGTTCTATATGTATTTTGGTGAATTTTTATTTTTGTGATTGCATTTTGCTGGAGAATTAATACATTATTAATATAACACACTGTTTAAAAGTTTAGATTGTCTTGAGTTATAATACAATTTTGCTGGTAAAAACATATACTGTATACTGTATATTGTGCCAAATTATGCAAAGCAGGGTACACCATGGACAGGGTGCCAGTCCATCACAGAGCAAGTACAAGCCAATCATACATGGTGACAATTTAGAGGCTATGGAAATTTGACCCATACACCAGGATAACTCCCTACTCTTATCGAGAAAACCCAGAGGATCTTTAATGACCGCTGAGAGTCAGGACCTCAGTTTAACATCTCATCCGAAAGACAGAGCCCACTACAGTATAGTGTCCCAGCCACTATACCGGGGCATTAGGACCCACATAGACCACAGGGTGGGCTCCCTCCACTGGTTCCACTAACACCACTTCCAGCAGCAAACATAGCTTCCCAGTCTCTCATCTAGTTACTGACCAGGCTCATCCCTGCTTAGCTTCAGTGGGTAGCCAGTTGAGAGTTGAGAGCAGCAGGGTGATATAGCTGCTAGCTCTTTTAAATGGTTTATTACAAAATAATTTCACTGCTATAAAAACAAACATAGTGGTTGTATTTAGAGGATATTGGAGATCACTTGCATTTGTGATACTTTGAGAAGTAATCAAAAATATGTAATGGAAAGGATAGCAAGGAAATTACTGCTCTCCGAAAAGAATACTACATCCCGTCAGAGGTTTTTAATACAGCACTTATGGTTGTGGAACAATGTTCTTTGGACAGATGAGTCAAAGGCAGAACTTTTGGTCAGAAATGAAAAAAATTCAACAGAAGAACTCCATCAAGCATTCTGGTGGGAGTGTGATGGTTTGGGGCTGCTTTTTGGGACCTGGATAGCTTGCCCTCATTGACACAATCATAAATTGAACTCTGCATTATATCAAAAGAGTCTAGAGGAGAATGTCAGGCCATCTTTCTATGACTTCAAGCTAAACTGATAAACTGGGTCTGGCAGAAAAACAATGATCCTTCGAAAGAATGGCTGCAAAAGAAGAAATGTAATCCAGTTTTACAATGGCATTTTACACAGCTGGACCTAAACCCTATTGAAATGTTGCGCCAGGACCTGAAGCAAGCTGCACATGCAAGGAAACATTCACATGTAATAGAGTTGAGGGAGTTCTGTAAGGAGGAATGCACCAAATTTCACCAAAACTGATTAAGAGATTGATCAATTGTTACAGGAAATATTAATTGCAGTCATTTCTGCACAAAGGGGTGCCACCAATTACTGTATCTAAAGGTTCACATATTTGTCATTCATGGATATTGAATTTTGCAGCATACGAGGATAAATAAATGTATCATCTATACATTTTCTAACCACATTATTCAATACAGGGTCACTAGGAGAGGAGTAACAGCACACAACAGGCATAAGGCAGGATGCACCTGGGCAGTATGCCTGTCCAACACAGTGCACATACAGACACAAACCTGGACACGTATACACCAGAGCAAATTTTCCAAGAAGACAATTAACCTACTGTACCAGTATGTTCCTGGACTGTGGGAGGAAATTGAAGTACAAGGAGAAAACTCCACAGAAACCTGTGAAGAATATACAAACGCCACACAGCTAGCACCCCAGGCATGGAATTGAACCCAGAACCACCTTTGACAACTGCAAGGTAGCAATGCTAACCCTGCACCACCGTGCTGCCAACCATTGTGAAGTCACTCTGGGGTATTTGTGAACTTGTGCTTTCAATCATTGTCTATCTGAAAAGTACATTTTAAACCCAGTTTTAGGCTTTAGCAGACTGAGACTGAAACAATATTTTGTTGTACTTTCCTCTATTTTAAGTCTATCAACCTTTACAGTCCTAAACAGGACCATCCCCATTGCAGCTACAGTACCACTATGCTTGAATGTAGGGATGGTGGTGACTGGTAAATGTGCTGTGTTTATTCTATGCCAAACATAATACCTGACATTTACAGTAGATCAAAAAGTAGTTCAAGTAGGTAACTGCATCAGCATGTGTAGGCTGCAACAGGAATAAGTAAAAGTTTATTCCATGCTGAAAAGAGAAGAAACACAACATTTCGGCACTGGAGCCTTCTTCGGGTGTGAAGAAGAAAGCATACCCAAAGAAGGCTCCACAGCCAGAATGCTGTTAATCTTTCTCTTTTCAGCATGGAATAAACCTTCTTATTTAGATAAAAAAAATTCCAGTTTGGTCTAATCTGACCACAGCTCCCATTGCCATGTTCTGCAGTATCTCTCAGGTGCTTTCCTGCAAGATCCATGCAGACTTTAAGATGTCATATTTTTAATGATTAACTTTTTGTTGCCACCCTACCAAACAGACTACTTCTGATAATTTTCTGGATATTGATGACTGAAACACATTTTCTCTCACCTCAGTCATTAAACTCTCTATCTCTGTCAAACTGACCTCACAATGGCATCCCTCATCAATTACCTTGTTGCCCAGCTGCTCAGTTTGGAGGCACAGTCTGATCTAGTCAGTGTCTGGGTAGTATGATGCATTTTCTATTTCTTGATACATGAATAGGTTGTGCTGACAGGGGTATTCAGAGACTTTTATATTTTTTACCCTTCTCCTGATCTATGATTTCTGATTACTGTATCCCTGACTTACTTTTAATCTTTTTAGTCTTCATGATTGAGTCCTTGCTTGAAATCCACTACCTGACCAAGTCACCTCACAGAAACAGACATATTCCGAAAACATATATCATTAAATTATTTTTGTAAACCTAACCTACCTTAGGTTTGCCTAATTTTTCTATTTTCTACTTCATTATTTTCCATGATGACAAGTTTTAAAGCAATGAAATCAGAAAATTGTGCAAAAGTCTGAATACTTTTGCAAGGCACTGTAGTGTAAGTTGTTGGGTACTATGAGGTTTGTTTGTATATGTAGATGGATTTATATCTGGTTTAATGAATTGGATGACTCTTGCAACATTTCTCTGTTGATGTTGTTTATGTGGTGTGAGAACAAAGAGGAGTGATTGACATTGTTTTCATTGAAATCTACAGTCTGTTATGCCTTGCCCAATGAGTGTTAAGCCTCGCCCAATGAGGACCCGACGCTCTCTGCATTCCAGTGCAGTTTCAATTAAGTAATCAGACACACCCCCTCCTCCTGGCTACTTTAACCTGACTCACGCTTATCTCCCTGCTCAGTATTAGGCTTATACTTGTCAGAGCTTTTTTTTTCTTCCCTGAGTTCTCTCTGTTCCCCTACCAACCCCACAATCAGGAGCCCATGGAAATTGGACACTCTCTCCTCACCCCTCAGGAACGTGAAAATGCTATCTCTACTGCAGTAAAACCGGACATCTTCATCTAATCTGTCCTTACTGGTGCCTGAACCTGCAGGTGATTCCTGATAAATTGTCTACCTCTTCTCCTACCTCCCTGTTTTTTGCTACTGTTCTCTAGGGACAATTCTAAATGATCACTGTTCGCTTTTATTGATTCAGGTGCCGCTGGAAATGTTTTAGATGCCCATGTAGCTCGCTCTTGGAACATCACATTGCTACCGGCCCATTCTCCTCTCCGTGTTCAGACTCTGGATGGATCCCCTCTGTTTCCAGGATTGGTTAGATGGCAAACCTTTCCCTTCTTCAGATGGGTGCTGTTCACACTGAACATGTACAAGTCTACCTCCTAGAGACCCCTCTCCATGCTTTGGTCCGAGGTTTCCCTAGGCTCAGGAAAGACAACCCTCATATTTCCTGCCCCCCCTGTGGAATACTGGCTTGGAGTCCACTGTCCAATACCCCTTGTGACCCCTCCTCTGGTATTTATGTAAGTTGTGATGACTTGGTTGAAGCATTCAATTAACAAAAGGCACTTTTCTTACCTGCTAACCGACCTTAAGACTGTTCTATTGACCTTTTAACTGGCATGTTTCCAGCCAAGGACAAAGTTTTCGTCCATTCTCTCAAGGAGTCCATGGCATTGAATGACTACATTCAATAAGCTTTAAGAGCTGGCTTTATAAGACCATCTTCCTCCCCAGCGTGTGCAGGCTTCATCTTTATGGGGGGGGGTGGCAGTCTCTGTCCCTGTATTGATTACTGTGGCCTCAATGCCATCACTGTCAAGAACTAGTACCCTGTTCCTTTTATCCCTGCTGCTTTGGAATCCGTTAAAGGGGTGACCATTTTTACTAAATTGGATCTTGGAGGGGTCTACAACCTGATTAGGATCCGTGAGGGGAATGAATGGAAGACTGCTTTTCTCACAACTCACGGGGATCATGAATATCTTGTCATGCTGTTCAGGCTTACAAATGCCCTAACCCGTTTTCCCAATCTGTTATCAGTGACATTTTCAGGGATCTAATAAATAAATGTCTGCCTTTCTACCTTCATGATATTCTAATCTTTTCCACCTCTCATATCTCTCAAGAACATATCAGTCATGTCCGGGAAGTCCTCTCTTGTTTAATTCATCATGGCCAAGAAAGAAAAGTGTAACCTCCATGCTTCTGAGATTCAGTTCCTGGGCTACATTCTTTCTCCTCAGGGTATCAGAATGAATTCCAGCAAAGTCTCCGCTATTACTGATTGGCCTACTCCCAAAAGACCTCAAGCAAATTTAACTGTTTCTCTGATTTGCTTATTTTTATAGGAGGTTTATTAGAAATTTATTAGAAATTTCAGAAGTTTACCTCTGCCCCCCTCTTGAAATATCTGGATCCCACCCTACCCTTCTTCATGGAACTCAATACCTCTGGATATGGTGCAGTTCTTTATCAGCGTCATGGTGAAAAAGGCATTTTACACCTATGTGCTTTTTTTGGGGAAAAAAAATTGACTGCTGCCGAGAGGAACTATGATGTGGGAAACCCCAATCTCCTGGCTATAACGTTGTCAATGGAGAAGTGGAGGTATTTATTAGAGGGAGCCCAGCATCCTTTTTTATTCTTACTGACTACAAGAACTTATCTTATCTGCAGGCGGCCAAGCACCTGAATCCCAGACAGGCAGGATGGGCCTTATTTTTATCCAGGTTTAATTTGACCCTCACCTACACTCCCGGCACTAAGAATAACAAATCTGATGCAGTCTCCCTCTGAGTGAACCTCCTAATGTCAATTTGTCACCACATGATATTATTCTTCCCAACAGGATCCTGGCCGCTGTTCATTGGGACATCAAGCATACAATGAGACTTGCCCAGCATAGCCAACCTATTCCTCCTCAGTGGTCCTCAGATAATCTTTTTGTGACAAGCTCAGTAAGGTCCTCAGTCCTGAAATGGGGACACGGTTTTCATTTTGCAGCTCATCCAGGAATAAAAAAAAAAACTCAAAAATCGATTTCTAGGGATTTTTGGGCTACCTTGTAGAAGGATGTCAGAGACTGTGTGCGTGCTTGTACCATTTGTGCACAGATAAAAACCTCCTGCTTTAAGACCCCTGGAGACCATCAACCCTTGCCCACTCCCAGTCATCCCTGGACACATCTCTCAGTGGACTTTATTACTGATCTCCCGGTTAGCCAGGGTTGTAACACTGTGTTAGTCAGTGTGGATAGATTTGTTACACTTTGTAAAACATAAAGCAAGCAAAAAACAGAGTACAAATAACAGCTGCAGGAAATATTTTAGATTTTCTTTTGGTTTACATGTTAAATTGAGACCAAAATTATTATTTTTCTAAAATATTTAGAGGTTTCAACCCAATATAAAAAATAGCAATGAATATAATATACTGTATGGCACAACAGAAGAATGTTTTTTGTAAATATTTTACTGGTAACTATAATACATAGGCATTGGATTGAAAGGTTGACGTTGTTAATACTGTTTCTTTTACAAAGTGAAAAGTGAATGCCAGAGAACAAATGGATCTCCATATCTTTACTTCCACTGTGTTAGAAAGTAACAAGTGAAAACTAACTCCTAAAACTATATATTGATACTAATCATAATAAAATTAGAATGTATACCAAAGTGCTTTCAAAATATATTATTTGGATGTGTAAATCTAAATATGATTATTGGCACAACATTACAGTCTCCTAGTAAGTCATCTACAGTAAGCTGGTACTAAAAATGGAGACAAATGATGCTTCCTAGAACTGAACTTGAACTTGAACTTTATTGCCATATGTAACCGGTACTGGTACAATGGAATTCTTACTTACAGAAAGTCTCTTGATTGTAAAACAAGTGTAAAAAACAAAACAAAGTGCAAACAGTGCATCAAGACAATATACAAACAAACAGTAGACAATGTGCAAGTAAACATGTAGACAGTTTGAATGTAAACAATACAGACCTGTAAACAATGACTGGAGATGTGCAATAGATAAAAAATCATAAAGAGGTAGATGGTGATGGTGTAGGTGTGGTCCGAGGGGGATGGCTAAATGTGTTCGCCAGTCTCACTGCTTGTGGATAGAAGCTATTGAAGAATCTAGTTGTAAGTGTCCGTATGCTCTTATATCTCTTACCTGAGGGCAGTGGGGTGAAGAGCTCACGCGCGGGGTGGTGACTGTCCTCTATGATGGCCAGAATTCTACCACGGCAGCTGTCCTCATAGAGCTGTTTAATCTAGGTGAGACTGCAGCCAATGATCTTCTGGGCCATATTGACCATTCTCTGCAGTGCCTTTCTTTCTCGCGAAGAGGTGTTGCCATACCACACGGTGATCCCGTTGGTGAGGATGCTCTCGATGGTGCAGCGGTAGAAGTTCACCAACACAGGTACTGGCATCCCCCATTGTTTGAGGCACCTCAAGAAATAAAGGCGCTGCTGAGCCTTCTTCATGATAGAGTCAGTGTTCACAGTCCAAGTTAGATCTTTAGAGATATGAATTCCCAAAAACCTAAAGCTGGTGACTGTTTCCACTTACGTTCCATCAATACTGAGTGGGCTGTGAGTGTGTGGCCTGTGACTCCGAAACTCCACTATTAGCTCTTTCGTTTTCTTTACGTTCAAGTCCAGGTTATTGCTACAGATGCAGCTATTCAAAATGGGTGGGGTATTTCACGGTATACCCCGGTGGGCGTGTCGCAGTATCACGCAGTATCACGGGGTAAATCGCGTCATTTGACGTCATGCCGGAAAGTATCCGGCATCACCTTGTAAAACCGCCAGGAGGAGCCAATAAAACTTAACCTCTCATGTACAGCATTTGAGCTTTTAAATTTAAACTGTGTATTACAGCATGTTAATCATCAGTCATTAAAAAGTTGGTATATTTTATGAAAGCAAGATTGCTCAGCTGAACAAAAGTACACAACCTACCTTTAATAGAAATATTTATGCATCAAAGCCTTTACCGAAGATATTACTAATAGTATTAATAATGAATGACTTTGGACAAGCTGTA